TCTAGTAGGGTCCATGCATATAGGCCCCTATGAGTATTCAAGCGTCCAATGAAATATCTTTGTATTTCCTAGTGAAATTGTTTAGGAGACCATGTTACAGCTGGAATTTGATGTCTGAAAAAAGTTTTAATATTGGATATAGGTGGCAGTCTCTAATGGCCTGTTTATAGGCCTGCCAGTAGACCTTAAAGTTCACTTGATCAAGCCATTGGAACAAAGCATGTGTGTCCACATGTCCCAGTGTTTTATGTAACCTTAGGATTCCTTCTTTACTAATCATGTTAACATTCTCAAGTTTCTTAATTGTCCAGTATGGGTTCCTTTTAATAGTTACTCTCATAGGTTGCCCTGATTTAATTTGATTTAATTCCTGCTCTTTTGGTCTTAATTGAACATGATGCCAATGTGTCTGCTATTTCATTATTTTTTAGATGTGTCTTTCCTGTGTGTGCATTTATGAAGATTACATTGATTTTGATGTCTTTGATATGTTTTGACATTTCCATCCATGCTTCCCTTGACCAAATGTCTTTGTCATTTATCTGCCAGTTAGTGATTTTCCATTTTGATGATGAAGGTAGCTATACCGCTGCAAACTTCATGAACTGGACAAGATACAGATTTTTCTTTTGCCTTCCTGAGCTGTTTGTCTTATTCTATCAGTGCTGCTAATACTTCAGCAGGCTGTCCTGGTTTACTGGTTCCTACCTCAGTAATAGCCACTCCATCCTGTGGCTCTAGACTGCTACTTTCCATTCAGTTTAGGTTCCATCAGTGGTTCATGAGTCATCAGTAAACCATTTGTTAACCAAATGCCATGGCCATTCTGTTTAAACCCACTGTCCAATAGATGACCCTTTTGGATGAGGGGTGAGGGGTTTAGGGATGGAGGCTATAGGAAACTGAGCTATTTCCTCAGTTCAAGAAAGCACAGACCACTTTGTTACCATATCCTGGCTATGAAGGAGTTTGGATAGGTACCTTTCCACTATGATGCCATTCCTTCCTTGGCTAAGTCTGCAAAGGATTCTGCCCGTGAGCAGCTCCAGTTCATCACTGAGCAAGTATCTAAATGATCATTGTCCTCAAAGACTTAGTAACTCCAACAGTCACCCTCTTACATCAATGGAAAGCCCACAAATTCTTTCTGCCAGACTACCTTTATCAAGCAGGAATTTTCCTCAAACACAAGAGGGAAGAGAGGCACTTACTCAAATGCCTGATGTTGGGAATGGGCTTACTCAGGGACCAGACACTCCACTACAATTTAAGAGCAATTTCCATTCCTCAAGAGGCTTGAAGCAGTGTAAGCATTGAGCTGTTCCCTAATTGCAGTTTTTGTTTCTTAGTCTTAATATATGGGCCTGATATGCTCCCAAAAGAGAAGCCCCCGATATTATACTCTTTTTCATTGTACCATACAATTCTGATTTCTCTATACTTATAACTGAGCACTTGCCCTTAATGGCCCCAGGCTCTGCATCTAGATTGTGTGTTTTTATCCTCCAGGTCAGGTGTGTACAGTTAGTAAATCTCTAGCTTTCCTGTTCTTGTGTGCAGTCATCATGTTATGTGGTTCCATGGTTGCACAGAGCTTTTCCAAAGAATTGTTTCGTATAAGGAGATGGTCATTGTATGTATTTTCATCCTCCAAAACCTGCACAAAATTTTCCATAGGAAAAGGCATAAGGGAAATCCCAAAGCACATAGTGCAAATCATTAAAGGTGAAAACAAAAAAGAATTGTGGTCTGCAAACTGTAAGTGCTGGAACTTTTTAAAGTGGCAATAGTCATATGTGAACCACATCATCCATTATAATTCTACCTTAATGTTCACTCAAGAAAATATCTATAAATGATTATATCAATTTATAGTTAGGCAGAAAGTTTCTTTACAGTTGAAATTATTCCACATCAAATTCTTTTTTCTCCTTTTTATTTTTTTAAATTAGAAACAAGCTTGTTTTACATGTCAATCCCAGTTCCCTCTCCCTCCAGTCCTCCAATGACCCCACCAACACCCTATCCCATCCCCTTTCTACTCCCCAGGGAAGCCTTCCATGGGGTAATCTTCAAAGTCTGTCATATCATTTGGAGCAGGGCCTAGGCCCTCCCCCATGTGTCTAGGCTGAGAGAGTATCCCTCTATGTGGAATGATTTCCCAAAGTCCATTCATATACTAGGGATAAATACTGATCCACTGTCAGAGGCCCAATAGATTGCCCAGGCCTCCTAACTGACACCTATGGTCAGGTGGTCTGGATTGGTCCTATGCTGGTTTCCCAAATATCAGTCTGGGGTCCATGAGCATCCCCTTGTTCAGTTCAACTGCTTCTGTGGGTTACTCCAGCCTGGTCTTGACCTCTTTGCTCATCACTTCTCCCTCTCTGCAACTGGATTCCAGGAGTTCAGCTCAGTGTTTAGCTGTGGGGATCTGCTTCGCTTTCATCAGCTACTGGATAAAGGCTCTAGGATTGCATATAAGGTAGCCATCAATCTCTTTATAGGAGAAGGGCATTTATGGTAGCCTCTACACTATTGCTTAGATTCCTAGTTGGGCTCATCCTTGTAGATCTCTGGACATTTCTCTAGTGCCAGATTTCTCTTTAAACCTATAGTGGTTCCCTCTATTGTGGTACCTCTTTTCTTGGTCTCCTCTATTGTTCCCTCAACTCAATCTTCCTGCTCTCTCATGTCCTCCTCTCCCATTCTTCCCCCTCTCTTTCTCCTAACTCCCCCTCCCCCCATGCTCCCTATTTTCTCAGGAGATCTTGTCCCTTTCCCCTTCTCTGGGGAACCATGCATGTCTCTCTTAGGGTCCTCATTGTTTCCTAGCTTCTCTGGTGGTGTGGCTTATAGGCCCATAATCCTTTGCTCTATGTCTAATATCCATATATGAGTGAGTACATACCATGTTTGGTTTTTTGTGACTGGTTTATCTCACTCAGGATGGTTCTTCTAGTTCCATCCATTTGCCTGCGGATTTCAAGATTCCATTGTTTTTTTCCCGGTGAGTAGTACTCCATTGTGTAAATGTGCCACATTTTCTTTATCCATTCTTCAGTTGAGGGGCATCTAGGTTGCTTCCAGGTTCTGGCTATTATACATAATGCTACTGTGAACATAGTTGAACTGATGCCCTTCTTGGGTGAATGTGCTTCTTTTGGGTATATGCCTAAGAGTGGAGTTTCTGGTGATTAGCATTTTCCAGAGGAAAATCCATACTGATTTCCAAAGTGGCTGTATGAGTTTGCACTCCCACTAGCAGTGGAGGAGTGTACCCCTTTCTCCACATCCTCTCTAGCTTAAACTGTCATTGGTGTTATTGATTTTAGCCATTCTGACAGGAGTAAGATGATATCTCAGAGCTGTTTTGATTTGCATTTCCCTGATGGCTTAGGATGTTGAACACTTTCTTATGTGTCTTTCAGCCATTTTAGATTCCTCTGTTGAGAATTCTCTATTTAGTTCTCTGCCCCAATTTTAATTAGATAATTTGGTGGGTTGTTGACTAGCTTCTTGAGTTCTTTGTATGTTTTAGAAATCAGCCCTCTGTCAGATGTGGGTTTGGTGACTATCTCGACCCATTCTGTGTGCTGCCATTTTGTCTTTTTGACTTTGTCCTTTGCCTTGCAGAAGCTTCTTAGTTTCAGGAGGTCCTATTTACTAATTGTCAATCTCAACGTCTGTGCTACTGGTTCAGGAATTGGTCTCCTGTACCAATTTGTTCAAGGGTACCTCCTACTTTCTCTTCTAAGAGGTTGAGTGTGGCTGGATTTATGTTGAGGTCTTTGATCTATTTGCACTTAAGTTTTGTGCATGGCGATAGATATGGATCTATCTGCAGTCTTCTATATGCCAGCATCCAGTTATGGCAGCACCATTTGTTGAAGATGCTTTCTTTTTTCCCCACTGTATAATTTTAATTTATTTGTCAAAAAGCAGGTGTTCATAGGTGTGTGGGTTAATATCAGGGTTTTCAATTTGATTCCATTGGTCTACCTGTCTATTTTTGTGCCAATACCAAGCTGTTTTCAGGACTATAGCTCTATAATAGATGGTGATGCCTTCAGAAGTTACTTCATTGTACATGGTTGTTTTAGCTATTCTGAGTCTTTTGTTTTTCCATAAAAAGTTGAGTTTTGTTCTTTCAAGGTCTGTGAAGAATTGTGCAGGTATTTTGATGGGGATTGCATTGAATCTGTAGATTGCTTTTGGCAAGGTTGCCCTTTTTCATATGTTGATCACACCTATCCAAGAGCACGGGAGGTCTTTCCATTTTCTGGTATCTTCTTTAATTTCTTTCTTTAAAAACTCAAAGTTCTTGTTGTACAGGTCTTTTACTTGTTTAGTTAGCATCACCCCAAGTTATTTTATGTTGTTTGTGGAATTAGAAATCTCCCATATACGATAATATATATGAATACTTGGCTCCTATTGATGGCTTTTTTTGTGTGTGATCCTTAGGGAAATTTTAGTAGAAGGACCCTTTCTAGACTAAGGTCCTTGTTGGCAAGTTGATTTGATTGTGTATAGACTCTTCCCATTTCCTGTTCCTTGTGTCTACTTGTTGAAATTGATCAGCCAGCTTTCTTTTCATTCTGTCCTGGATTCACCACCACTTTAAACTCTATCCCTAAATAATAACAGAAGCAAGTGTTTTTCCTTGCTAAGCCATTTGGTCACAGTTTTAAATTTTTCTTTATTTTTTCATTTGTTTTCAAAGAAAATGCTTTTGGGATAGCACTGACTGTCCTGAAAATAGTTTGTGAGACCAGACTGGCCTTAAGCTCAGAGATCTGCCTAACTCTGCCTTCAGGTTTTGATATTAAAATTTTGGGTGAATATGCCCAGGTTTTTTTGTTTTTATATTATTGACTGATGGACCTGTAAAGAAGGTTTTTGTACATGCCAAGAATGTGCTGTTGTACTCGGATTCATCAATATCTTGACTTAAATTTTGACATAATGTACCTTTTTTTCTACTTGGATAGCATATATTCATGACATGAATAATGTCTGAAGGTCCTGTGTCATTAGGTTGCATGTGTGTGACATTCTTCCTAACTTTTATCATGTTTTGAATTTTATGAAGAAATATGAGTATTTTGCCTGTGTGCATGGATATATACCACATGTGTACCTGGTGATCCTAGTACTCAGAAGATGATCTCCCTGAAAATGGAATTATGGATAGTTGTGAGTTGTGTAAGCACTCATCTCCTCTACAAGATCAGCAACTGCTCTTAACTGCTGAGTCATCTCTCCTGCCCTTTTGTTTTTATGACCTACATTAAAGATTCTGTGTGTATCTCTGCCATGTTAAATATGTGTTCTTTTTAAAATAAGATCTAATATTACATAGTAAACTGTAACACTTCAGGTTCCTGGGAGATGAATATAGAACTGGAATGAATGTTTATCTTTTCATAGGAACTTCAGTGCGATCCATCTTTTTGTTTCTTTGGTTGGTTAGTGTTTTTTGGGGGTAGAGATGGAGAGGTCCAGATATGAATCTCTGGATAATCTGACCTTATTTCATAGATCAGGCTGGCCTCAAACTCAATGATATTCACTTGTGCTGACTCCTGAGTGCTAGGATTAAAGCCATGAGACAATACCCCCAGATTGCCCATCTTTTTGCAGTTAGTAATTGTTCATACCATTTCTCTGACATGTATTTAATATTTTTGATTTGTTTGCTTGTCTTTCTATGTCTGTTAATAGTCATTTCTCTTGGGAGGGTAAATTCTATTCAAAGGACCAAGAAAAAACATGTACAAACCTTCCTTTCAATTTCCTTCTAATGTACATTTCCATTGTGTTCAACATCACTATTTCTGTTGTACACATGTATGTTGTAATTTAGAGTGAAGTGACCTGTGATGATGTGCATGTCAACTTCACTCAGGAAGAGTGGGCTTTGCTAGATCATTCCCAGAAGAATCTCTACAAAGACGTGATGCTGGAGACTTACAGAAACCTCATTGCTATAGGTAAGACTGTGAATTTCCCTTTAACTTTTAGAATAAGGGGACAACTATTTCTTGGTTTTTGATGCTTTCCTATAATTTAGATTGATAAAGGGGAAGAATGTGCTTAGCTTTTTTTGTTTTGTTTTGTTTTGTTTTCTGGAGACAGGTTTCTCTGTGGCTTTGGAGGCTGTCCTGGAACTAGCTCTTGCAGACCAGGCTGGTCTCGAACTCACAGAGATCCACCTGCCTCTGTCTCCTGAGTGTTGGGACTAAAGGTGTATACCACCACCACCTGGCTTGTGCTTGGTTTTTGATGTTTCCTATAATTTGGATTGATAAAGGGGAAGATACAGTAGCTTGAATTTTGCATTATTTCCAATAATATACATTTCCTTGTACTATATTTCAGGCTACAAATGGGAAGATCACAATTTTAAAGTACATTGTCAAAGATCTAGAAGACATGGAAGGTAATTTTCATGTGCAAGGTAATACAAATTTCCCACAGAAAGATTTTTTTTTTTTTGCCTTTTTGAGACAGGATTTCTCTGTACAACATTTCTGGCTGTTCTGGAACTTGTTTTGTAGATCAGGCTGGCCTTGAACTCCACAGAGTAGAAGCTGCAAGGAAAATTAACTGTAAATAAGCATAGCTTTAAGTGTATTGATTATTACTACATTCTCACATCATGTACCTCAGTATCAGGTAGCTGATCTGTGTTTGCAAGGTATTTCTCTAATAAAGATGACAATGAAACAGTGTCTTCACAGATTTCACTATTTTAATCATAGACTCATGAGCACTAGCCTGTGGAACTGTCAATCTATTTAGTTCCATACCACTCAGGTATAGCAAAAGGAATACATATTGATTAGTAGATAAGCATTGTCCAAAATCATCTAATAAGCAAATATTCCAGTAGTAACAAACTAGTATTACGAATGTACTTGTGGTGAGTAATGAAAGTTCAGTGATAGGGTCAGTTTATGAGAATTAAGAACTTTGTTGTGAAGAAACCTCAATACCTGCACCATATCTCTATCAGGAACAAAAGAATTCAATGTGTGAATGTGATATGGAAACCTTTAATTTGTTATTCTTTCATTTATGGTATATCGTATGTCATTCTGATAACTGGTCATGTGTGCATAAATGATGTAGAAAGAAGTAATGTACCTCTCTCTTTCCCAGAACAATTAGAAGATATGTATTTGTCTTCACTTTGAGTACACTTTCTAATTCTGATATAAGTTTAGAATTATTTTTCAAACCACATTGGAAATATATCAACAAACTCACTCCACAGAAAAGCCCTTTAAGTACAAAAAATGTATGACTTCTTCTGTTGTTCCTGATTCACTTTGCAAATCTAGTGACTCACAGTATAGAAAAATGTTATGAATGTAATCAGCATGGTAAACCTCTGAGTTCTTCTAGTTCTCTTCAATTATACTAAACATCTCATGAAAAAGGTTGCTATCAAAGTGAGCCATGTACTAAAGGCTCTAAACATCACAGGTATTCTCAAATACACAAAAGACCCAATAATAATGAGGAAGCTATGAATGGAAACAACATGGTAAAATCTAGTATCTGACTCCTCTTTGGCATTAGAACAAACTGTAAAATTAAGTCATACAGATAAAAGCATTCATCAGACAAATGGATTTCTTATAGCATTTACATGTGCCAATTATCTTTACAGGCATGAAGGAAGTCATAGTGGAAAGAAAGCCTATGAATGTAATCAATGTGGTAAAACCTTTGCAAACCACAGTAGTCTTGAAATACATAGAAGAACTCACACTGGAGAAAAACCCAATGAATGTAATGAATGTGGGAAAGCCTTTTCACACCATAGTAGTCTCAAAATCCATAAAAGAACCCATACTGGAGAGAAACCCTATGAATGTAATCAATGTGGAAAAGCCTTTTCACACCACAGCAGTCTCCAACTACATAAAAGAATTCATACTGGAGAGAAACCCTATGAATGCAATCAATGTGGGAAAGCCTTTGCACGTTACAGTCATGTTCAAAGACATAAAGGAATTCACACTGGAGAGAAACCCTATAAATGTAATAAATGTGATAAAGCTTTCTCACAACAGAAAAATCTCCAAATACATAGACAAACCCATACTGGAGAGAAACCCTATGAATGTAATCAATGTGGGAAAGCCTTTTTGCGACACAGTGGTCTACAAGTACATAAAAGAACCCATACTGGAGAGAAACCCTATGAATGTGATCAATGTGGGAAAGTCTTTTCACACCACAGTAGTCTCCAACTACATAAAAGAACTCATACAGGAGAGAAGCCCTATGAATGTAATCAGTGTGGGAAAGCCTTTTCACGTTACAGTCATGTTCAAATACATAAAAGAATTCATACTGGGGAGAAGCCTTATGATTGTGATCAATGTGGTAAAGCCTTTGCATGTCACAGTAATCTCCAAATACATAAAAGAGCCCATACTGGAGAGAAACCCTATGAATGTACGCAATGTGGCAAAGCCTTTTCACAACACAGTCATCTTCAAGTTCATAAAACAATTCATTCTGGAGTGAAACCTCATGTTTGTAATAAATGTGGGAAAGCTTTTACACGTCATGCTAATCTTCGAAGGCATAAAATAACTCATACTGAAGTACAAGGCTATAAATGTAATCAATGTGAGAAAGCTTTTTCACAAGTGAGTCTTTTCCAAGTTCATAAAACAACTTATCCAGGAGAGAAGCCCTATGAATGTAATCATTGTGGGAAAGCCTTCACCTGCCATAGTTATCTTTAAAGGCATGCAAGAATTCATATTGGAGAATAAATCTATGATTTTCCTCACTGTTATAAAGACTTTGCATTTCACCCTGGTCTTTGAATCCATGAAGCGTTCATCCAAGAGGAAAACCTGTAGTATGTAATAAATTTGTTAAAGCCTTCCTATGTCATGGTAGTCATTGAGGATATGAAAGAACTGAGACTCTAGGGGATTTGGTATAATATTTAGTCAACAAACTTACATTTAGTTACCCAGATTATTCTGAAGAAAAACTGACAAATGTTAACAATCTATTCAGGCATTATAATGTCTGTGTTTTGCTTGCAACTACAACCTCATGGATAAAGGCCCCATGTATTTATTTAGTAAGGCAAACCTTTTAGTTATTATGCTTCTCTTCAATTGCATGAAGTAAGTCATTCAGAGTAAAATATTATGGTTGTGTACTAGTTTTTTTTTCTCTTTCCATGATAAAACACAGTGTCTAAGGCAACTTTAAAAGAGCTTAATTTGGCTTATGGCTCCAGAGTGAAACAGGCAACAAGTGATAGACATGATAGCTAAAGCAGGAAGCTAAAGATGACATCCTCAGCCCAAAGCATGAAGCAGAAAATGGGAACCGATGTGGTGTCAGGATTTAAAATCTCAAAACCCACCACCAGACTTCCTCTACAGGGTGCCGTTTTCTCAACTTTTCCAAATGATACCAACAACTGAGAAGTATTGATTCTATGACTTTAGAGCCTACATGCTTATTTTCTGTTATATGAAACAACTCATGATAAAGAAAATTTCTGTCGTTTGGTCTTTATATGCCTCAACTTCTGGGTTATAAGAATGAATGCTTACCTAATAAAAATAGCAAGAAGTGAAAAATGTTTGTTTAGTGATTCATTTTATTTGGTTATGTCTGTGTTTTTGGATATATGCACATGCTTGATGGTCTTCAAGAAGGATGTGCCTTGTAGTCATCTGGGTTAGGGTTAAGGTTAGGGTTAGGGTTAGGAACTACAGGAAACTGTAAAAAATCTCTCCTGGATTCTGGGCATGAACTTATCTTAATTGCTTAGGACTATCTTGAGCCCTGTAAATATTTAAAAACCTTTATATATCATCTTGATATTAGGATATAGGCAAGAATTCATACATGAGAAAAATGTTGTTCATGCAAACAATATGGTAAAGACTTTAGACATCCAGACAGGGTCCAAGTCTCACAGACTATTCTAGCCAGGACTTCAGATGATCCTGAGCTTTCTCATTTCACAGAGACTGGACAACAAATGTTATGGCTATTTATCCCAGGACTTGATCTTTATCTTAATTTCCTCAGGGTCCCCTAAAGATGCCAGTACCAACTGACAACAGAAAGCAGTCCAGAGAACACAATACCCACATTCCCAAGAGGTGGGGTTGGTGTTTTTTATTCCATTGGTTATGGATATTTGTCATCATTGGGGGGGGTTGGTTGCAAATTCTCATTTGTCGTGGTAAGGAAAGAAACTAAACAAGGAAGGTTACATTCAAGCATCTCTTTCTGAAAAGCAAAGGGGGATATAGGGACAGCTGGGTGGTGGTGCAGAGCTTTAATCACAGCATTTGAGACACCGAGGCAGGTGGATCTTTGTGAATTCAAGGCCAGGCTCATCTACAGAGCGAGTTCCAAGACAGATAAGGCTGATGTACAGAGAAACCTTGTCTCAAAATAAGAGGAGGAGGAGGAAAAAGAAAAAGGGGATATAGGAATTATAGGGTAAAAGATAGATTATTGAATTTACTTTTAGCTAAAAGGTAACTATTAAAATCAAATATTTTAAGCTGGTATGGATTTTTCTAAATTGATACAAAGTTGAGGTTATTTTTGTTACACTGTGTATGTTTATACTCAATGTATTGTACCTATGTACCTATTGTACCTCATAACTGTACTTTGCAAAGACAAGGTGGGACAGTCCTGTAAACTTACTGGTTCACAGAAAAGTCTCTCACATATTCTAGGCCTGTTGACTGAATATGGATGCCCAGACATTGCAGAGAGATCCTGGATGGCTGTCCAGGCAGCCAAGTACTTTTGTCATGTCTTATCATTTTAGAAGTTGCTTCCTCTGTACTTTCTGTTTATTCAGGCAATATTATATCCTCAGATCTTGGATGGGTTGAAGACTAATAATTATAGTTACAGTTTTCCTTTGTTATGATAGAAAGTGAATTATGTATAAAACTTTGTTCTCAACTAAGATTGGATGGATACTAGAGTATTTTCTCCAAAATTGCCAAAAGAAAGACTAAACGTTGCAAATATAATTGTTTTTATTCTATGTAATTTTCCTGTATTAGAGTTAAAGCCTTTGCTTTTTATTTAGACAAAAGTAGGTAAATTTGTGGAATAATCATTCTGTACACTGAAAATGTGTCACTCTGATTGAGTTAATAAAAAGTAAATGTTCAATAGCTTGGCAGGATTTCTGGGCAAGGAAGTTGCTGGGGCAAAGAAGGCTTAGATACCAGCAGATAAAGAGCAAGCAGCATGGGAAGTATAGTGTAAAGGTAACTGGTCACATGAAAGAACATGGATGAAAATATTTGGGTTAATTTAATAAGTGCTAGTTAGAAACCACACTAAACTATTGTCTGAGACTTTATAATTAATACTAAGCCTCCATGTCACATTTTTTGTGAGCAGTCAGCCTAAAGAAAGAAATGTATGTATAGTCTCCTGTTAAATTGTAAACATATTGTCATTCAAGTATAGGGAAACACAGGATAAATTGATTAGCAAATAGTACTTGCACATAAATATATTTATACTGTCATGTTTTTTTGGGTTGAGTTAGTTAATTCTGAGCATGCTATACTTCTTTGTAACTTTTTCTCAGAACCACAAATGAATGCCGGAGAATTGTCTCAATACCTAAGTTGGTTGCTAGTAAGCCCGATGACCTAAGTTCAAGCACTGGGAAATCCATATTACCCCTAAAAGTTTTCCTGTTATTTTCACACTCGGGATGTGTCTTATGCACAGCCAAACACTAGCACATACAAAAATAAGTCTTAATCCAGAATAAGACAAGTGAGGTCATTTGCAGCCATACTTGACTTCTTACATTGATCCCTAGGACTCACATAGATGAAGTACTAATTGGCAGCTGTAAGTTGTTTTGTGTTATATGCACACCTGGCACAAGTATATACACAGAGTTAAAACACTTTAATATTTTGACATTAACCATGTTCATAGCAGTATTATTTGTAATAGCCAGAACCTGGAAGCAACCTAGATGCCCCTCAACTGAAGAATGGATAGAGAAAATGTGGTGCAGTTGCACAATGGAGTACTACTCAGTAGGAAAAAAAAACAATGGAATCTTGAAATTTGCAGGAAAATGGATGGAACTAGAAGAAATCATGCTGAGTAAGGTAACCCGATCACAAAAAGACAAACATGGTGTGTACTCACTCATATGTGGATTTTAGACATAGTGTAAAGGATTACCAGCCTACAATCCACACTGCCAGAGAAGCTAGGAAACAAGGAGGACCCTAAGAGAGACATACATGGTCCCCTGGAGAAGGGGAAAGGCTCAAGATCCCCTGAACAAATTGGGAACACAGGAAGAGTGGGGAGGAAGCTAGGACAATGAGAGGGGGAGAAGAGGAGGGATGCCGAGGACATGAGGGAGCAGAAAGATTGAGTCAGGCAAAGAATAGAAGATAACAAGAATGGAGATGCCATATTAGAAGGAGACATATTAGGTTTACAGAAAAATCAGGCAATAGGGAAATGTCTGGGGATCTACAAAGATGGCACCAGCTAACAATCTAAGCAACAGAGGAGAGAGGCTACCTTAAATGCCCTCCCCTGATAATGAGATTAATGACTGACTTATATGGCACCTGATAGCCCTCATCCAGCAGCTGGTGGAAGTAGAAGCAGTCACCCACAACTAATCACTGAACTGAACTGAACTAGATGCAGAGAAGGATGAGTGAAGAGCAAAGGGGTGCAGACCAGGCTGGTGAAACCCACAGAAACAGCTGACCTGAACATCGGGGAACTCTTGCTCCCCAGACTGGTTGCTAGGATACCAGCATGGGACTGATCCAGACCCCAGGAACATGGGTTTCAGTGAGGAAACCTCGGAAATCTACAGGACTTCCTGTAGTAGTTCAGTACTTATCCCTAGCATAGGTGTGGACTTTGGGAGCCCATTCCACATAGAGGAAT